AGACATGCGCACACACTTATACATACATGTCTGTGTATACACCTACATGTATACATTCTTTCATATATACATTCCTACCTACCTACCTACCTACCTACCTACCTACCTACCTACCTACCTCCCTGCCTCCCTGCCTCCCTGCCTCCCTGCCTACCTACCTAAACAAGCATCCAACCCTCCAACTGCTGAGGTCTGCTTGCTATCTCGGAGTCTTTTGCGGGTACCGATGAGCAGAGCGGGGAAGCAATGGTGGAGGTAGGGCTTAGAGGATCATGGGCCTTTGTACGTAGGGTCATTATTCGGGTAACTATACTCATAATTGCTTATAGCTTCCAAGTGGGACAAGAGGGTTCCTGTTGAAGGCTGCTTCATGGGTTCCTTACGTTGCATGTGGCGTTCGGGGTTAGGGCCTGGCCATCGGGTTGGGGTTCACAGGATTTCTTTGTATTTCTTTTTACCATGGTTCGTGGCCTGTTTATATGTGCATCTATGTATCTATATGCCGATGTACCTATGTAGCTATGTATATGTTTGCTTTTTGTATATGTATATGTACATGCAAGCATGTATGTGTGTATATATATACATATGTAAGCGTATATGTATCTGTACATGTAAATGTGTGTATGTACATATGTATACATATACCTAAATACATAATTAAGTATATGTATGTTGGTATGTGTGTATGTATGCATGTATGCATGCATGCATGCATGCATGCATGCATGCATGCATGTATGTATGTATGTATGTATGTATGTATATATGCAAGTAATTAAGTAAGTAAGTAAGTAAGTAAGTAAGTAAGTATGTATGTATGTATGTATGTATGTCTGTATGTATGCACGTATGTATGCATGTATGTATGCATGTGGGCATGTATGTGTGCATGTACACACACATGTTTGCATATATGAGTTCGCCTATGTGTATACTTATAAACTTATAATATAGTAAGAGTTAATGTTATGTAAACGAAGTATAATACAGCTTCGGGGATCTGATCGTGTTTCAACAGGATCTGGACGCCATCCGGACGATGAACAAGAGAATGGGCAATCGAGACCAAAGCATCCAGGGGGCTTTGGACTACATCTTCAAGCAGGACCCGTTATCTTCGGTGCCGGTTGCCTTTGCACTTTTCCCAGGGCCCCGTCGTCTGCTTTATCACGTGCATCACCTCAATATTGCACTCAATGCCTTAGGTGCTCAGTCCTGGCCTATATCGTGTGAAACCTAGTGCTAGTACCCGAGGTGTTCTAGGGCCCGAGGTCCAAGACAGTCCGAGAGGGCACGCAAAGCTTGGAATTTGGGCCCAGGCCCGCATGCACCTCCCCGCACAGGAAGAGGCACGAAGTGCAGACGAGGAGAAGCTGTCGAAGGCGGCGCCAGAGACGATCACTGCTCTAGCTGCCATACCCCTTCATGAGCAGCCATGACAGCCAATCTTGTTGACCGTAGCAAGCGTGGCAGCTAGATGGCAAGAGCAAAGCACATCAAGCTACAGTGCTTGATCTGCAGGCCGAAATGGAGGAGTTGAAGGGCTTCAAGGAGGAGAAAGAGCGCTTCAAAGAAGAGAAAGAGCAGGCGACTTATCAGGGTCTCCACGTCCAATCTTAGATCTTTGAATGACTGCTTCTGGCATATACTTTTCAAAGCTAATGCGGGAGGCAGAAACCGCACCCTGCTATCGCACAAACCATGCATGCTTTATCGAGCGTTGGTCCTTTCACAGCTTTCTTGTCAGGGCACCGGCGATTCCGCACTCATCGAATCAGGTAGGTTTGGTGCCCGAATGGCGCGCTCGAACTCGAATCGCGCTTTCACGCTCTTTGCAGTCTGCGGCGCCTTCATAGGGATGTACCCAGATCTTCCGATATCCCTGCAATCGGAATAAGTATATCCGAAATTGACATGTTCCTTAATTGAGGGATTCTGGAAATGTGGGTAGCAGAGCTCGAAGTTTCTCGTGATCGCCTGGCTTGCGTGAACCAGAACAGCGGCTCAGGTTTATTCTTAAATTGTTGCGATGTAGTTTTGCATATTGAACCCTACTGCCTTAGCCTTGACCTTGCAAATCTAAACCAGAAGTAGAAGAGCAAAGCATACTTCAAGGCATAAGCCCCAAACGCAGAAGCCTGCAGGAGGCCAGAGGCAAGTTGGATGAGGAGTGCTTGGGAAAGTGCTGTCGCATGGAAGTCATGCTTTGTGTATACCCTCGAGTGTTCCAATGATAAGGCTGCTGCTTCAAAAACCTTGCATGCTGTGCATGTGTGTCCCCTACAAGCCCTAACTGGGTCTGAGCAATGCATCTTTGCATGAACGCATATTGGCTGCAGGCCTGTTTACGCTTGCGTCCTTGATCGTCTTTGTTGTTCGTTCTGACCTGACGTTTAGAGGTGGCGCCAAAAACCACATCGACTTGTGTGCACGCCTGTATGAGTATTTGACTAGTATGTGTAGGCAAGTATGTATGTATGTATGTATGTATGTATGTATGTATGTAGGTATGTATGTATGCATCTCTGTCTGTCTGCCATACGTGTGTGTGTGTGTGTCTGTGTTTATGCACCAGTCATACCATGTAGGTTGTTTATGTGTGTTGGTGCGTGCACAAGCGACAATCTGTACGTGTGTGCATGTTTGCACGCATGTGCATGTGTGTGTGTGTAGGTAAACTTGAACTATCTCTAGATATGTATATTTGCATGTCTATGTATGCATGTATGTACGCATGGATCTGCCTGTGCGCTTGCGTATGCATATGTACATGCGTTTGTGTATGTATGTAGTTCTGTGTGTATGTATGTATATATGTATGCATGCATGCATGGATGTATGTACGTATACATGTATGTATGCAATGTATGTGTGTAATGTATTGTACTGTAGTGTATGTCTGTGCGTATGTATGTGTATATGTATATATGTATGTATGTGTATGTATGCGTGCATGCATGTCTGTGTATGCATATATCCAATCGCATACAAGCATGCATACACACATACACACATACCTACATACATACATACATACATACATACATACACACATGCATACACAGTCACATACATACATGTGAATGTGCATAGATAGGTGTGTATATATATATATGTGTGTGTGTGTTTATTTATTTATTTGCATATGTAATCGGAGACATGTGTGTGTGTGTATATGTGTACGCACATGTGTGGCACACATAAATAGATCCGTACAGACAAGCAGAAAAAGATAGACTGACAGACCTTATACATTACATACGTAAATACATAAGATGCAAATAAGTAGATAAATAAATAAATAAATAAATATATATATATATATATACACATACACACACATAGACACCTACTTATCTACACACCTACGTACCTACTTACGTACTGTAACGCGTACCTACATAGCTTAATACCTACATACTAACGTATATACATGTACATGCATGCATGCGTACGTACAAAATGCATGAACACGCACACATGCGTTTATATGTAGGAGCTGGAGATCATCACTTTAAACTCCCTGTCATCATCCAGGACTGCGGCCCAAACTTGCTAAACTAATCCCTAACACCAAACGTCCCTTAGGGCTCATTATCCTCGATCTTCATACCCTGCCAGGGTTCAAGGGACAGGACTTCTAGAATAGGCCCGCTTGAGAGGAGGTGGTGGACCTCTCAGAGACTCCAGCAGACGCCAGTTCGAGTTGCTGAGCTTGACAGGTTGCAGAAGTCCCGGGTTGAAGATTTGTACCCAGAGAGCCCAATACCCCTCAATGCAGGAATAGACCTTAAAACTGTGGGGGCCTTAATCTTATGGCTTATAAGGTAGATTGCTAAGTTAAGGGGGATTGGGCTCTTTGGGAGGAATCCTTTTTATCCAACACCCAACCTTTTGAATAATTTAGTAGTAATCTGAAAGTTTGACCTTCTATTTCCATGGCTTGTTGGGGAAGTAAGGGTTCGTAAGCGGACAAGGAACGTTTTGGTTTAGGGTCTGCATCTGCAACCCCAAACACTACAACTTCGTAGGTTAAGACTCCTTAGTTATAAAGAGTAACATCCCAAAACAAAAGTTTTTTTGGATCGTCGAGTAGGAGCTGGAGGAGGGCGCTGAGTGTAGGCTTCCGACTAGGAGCAGACATTGATGTTCGACGTTGGTGCTTGCTGTGCGGATTTAGACGTTGGTTTCGGACAGGTTTTTTGTGAGAATCGAGGCCCAGCCCTAAACCCTGAATCTGGGAAGCATGACGTGGCCGGCAGCCATGGGTCCTTGGGGTTTGCCGCGGCCTACCATAGCAGGCGTAAGACTCCATAACGACCCCATAACCTCTCCTGCTCGAGGGCCCCAATTATACTTTACTTTCTGACGCTTGCAGCAACAAGCTGTAGAAGCCTGAACAGTTACCAAGTCTGTGTTCTGGTAAAGCTGTGACCCCGACACCCTACATGTTCTAATTATTATTCTAATGGTCAAGACCCCTCTATGAACTGAGGCTCTTCAGCATCAAAGGTGCCGAAGGCACCACAAGCGGCTCACACAGCATTCGTTGTGTGGTCTGACGAAGCTGGGGGCCTCTAGAGAAGTGTTTCAGTGCCCAACTATAGTTCCACTGTATTTGGTTTATTTGGTTTAACCAATTAAATATCATTTCGGGTCCTGAAAGGAAACCCCCAAAGCAACTACAATCGAGATTATAGGCTGAATCTCGAGGCATCAGCTGGGTTCAGGAACACTTCCAGTCGGCCGGAAGCCAGTGGTCGATTTCAAGGCTCAGGGTAGCTGGCTTCGTCGTCGGGCCCCATGTACCTAAACGGTAAGTTTGTACGCTTTTGCACGCCATGTAACCCAGTAACTCGATATTTCTACTGATCTGAGCCCTTAGTGGTAGTCCGAGAAAGCTGCAGGGAGATGTCTTTTGGGGTTCCGGGGTCAGCGGGCGAACTTGTTTGTGGGTGTTCAGGAACTTCTTCCGGGTTTTGGCAGGGAGCCCGACGTGACAAAGACTGCTGATTGATTGCAGCCAGTTCAGAAGCACAGAATCGCTCCTTTGAGCACAAAGCAAACCTCACACACCGAGAATGTCGCACATGCGCAAAGCTAACAGATTGAATTCGTGCCAGGGCGGAGGGTTGTTGCTTCAATGTGCATTGACTCACCGGACTTCTTAGTTGTCCTCCCCGAACCTGTAGCCCTGCAAAGTAGAGTAACATAGAAGCTTGAATAGCTATCAATACTGAATTATTCCTTTGGGTTCCTTATCACTAAGAATTAAAGCAGAATGTGACCCAAAACCCTATATTCCAATGTTAAGGCACCCTACACTAACCGCCCTATACCATGGAAGCTCCCATTCCACGTCCCACCATGTTGCCAACTTGTCTCGATCGTGTTCGGAGTTTTGGATTTGGGGCCTCAGGGTTTTAGCGTTGAGGGTTATGGGGGGAAGGAGTCCCAGCTAAGGATTTAGGGTTTAGGATCGCGTCCTCAGGTAGGATCCGCCATCCTCGCCGCAGTGGCAGAGCGTGCTTCTGCCCAGGCGAGAACTCACGATGCCAGCTAGAGGTAACTGCTAACAGGTAGCTTTTTGCACCCACAGCTGCTGTTTCCTGAAGAAGTCAGCCCATGTATGCAGCGCCAACACTTACGCACCGAAGTCTGCACCGAGCCCCCCTTGCTTTCTCGTAAAGCCGTGCTTCTAGTTGAGACATCTCCGCTGCCATCGACACTACAATAGACCACGAGGCTGCGAAAGCAAAGCCGAAATTCGCTGTCAAGGCCCTGTTCCGGTTGCTTCCAGATGAATTGTGTAGCTGAGTCCGGTTCGGCTTCATGTAGCCAGGGACTAGGCCTGCATCCTAAAACCCTACCCTACAATCTTACAAGCCCTATAAACTTTAACCCCTTGGACAGGTTCAGGATTCGCGCTGGTGCTTAGCGCGTTTGGAGTGATTGCGCAAGCAGCTGAAGCGATTGGCTATACTTGAGACATGCCTTGTGCTCTGTTTTAAGTCTTCTGTAAGGACGATAACATGATGTAAACATTCCTGCATGGTCATCATATTTGTTATCACGCAGCTATAGTATGATGATCATATTCATTACTGTCCGAACAGGTCGGGGGTTCCAATATATAGAAATCTGTTACGACTGGACAAATCCACCACCACCAACGTGGGTTTTCAAAGATCACCACACCGGCTTCCGTGCTTCCAGACTTCAAGCCTCGTCGGACATGGCTGCATCGGTTTTCTTCCATGTTTGAAAGGCAAGAGCAAGTCGAGTCTGGTTTGAGAATTTCTAGCAGCTTCAACTTGCAGGGAAGACCAGCCACCCTTATATTCCAATAAATAAAGGCCAGCTGGCTGGATGCCCTTCTGCAGCAGGTGAAGCGGAAGGCGAACGATGATGCCCCTGGCAATGGCCTCCTTGCCTGGCATTGGGGTCAAGAGTTTTGCCTGGTAACCCGAGTTGAGGGCGATAGAGCGTTCGGGTCCTTGTTTGGGGTCCTTAGTGAGGAATCCGATGATTGAGGGCTTGTGTTTTCGTTTTTGACGGGGGAGGACAGTTTCGATGTCAATAAACGT